ATCGTCCTGCGCCGACCCATCAGGTAACTCTGATGCAATAAATATAGAGCAATCATATGCTTTTAGCATGCCAAATCACGGCAGGCGTCCATTCGTGGCTACAGTTCTAAACTTCCTTTGACTACTCTGACGAGAAACTTGTTCTCGGAATGTCACTGAACAGTTCACTTCTTCGTAACATGCATCGATAAAATTTGCAGTGCCCCCACGTTCGTACCAGATTACCACCAAGCGATACCCGTGGTTACAGCGATCAGTCCTGATTGACCACGAACGTTTGTCTCTGACAGCGCTCGCTGCCCTTTGCGAGCACTCCTCTCAGCAGTGTTCGGCATATTATACGGAAGGGGGTAAGCGAAAAAACGGACCGAGCTGCGACAGGACGTCCGAGCGATGCCAATCTCCACATAAAGGGACCGTTCGTCGAAAATTTGGGGGATTGGTGAACTTCGTCATGTCCCTTGTCCTCCCCCTCCTTGCCTTCGCAGGCGTCTGCTATGGCTACAGGTTTGTCGCTTTTGTGTCAGAGATGTCTTGTTTACCGACCCTCTCGACATGAAGCGTTGCCGATACCCCCTACGTGAACGGACTGCCTTCGACATCAAAGCTGATCGTCCTTGCTGCGGCGTGCTTCTTCATCGCTCGGGGGATCTATTTCACGTTCAAACCACAGATCAAGTTCATCTGGCATTGCTTCCTCAGGCCGATTGGAACTTCGGACCAACGCACGCGGTTGGATAAGGTGTGCACAGGCCCATCTCGCTATTCTCTAGTTTGGGTCTCTGATTACGATCTGTCAGTTTTACGAGGGTCAGGCGGAGGTGTACGACGCGACGAGGAATGGTTTGTTACGAGGTCGAGAGACTATGCTCAGTATGTCTGCGGCACATCTGCGGATTCTTCGCGAGACAACACCCAGCAAGCGATTGGTTTGGGTTGACATTGGCGGCGGGACTGGTACGTCATCGCTTTCATTTATCTGTGTCAGGATTCTGACAACATTAATTGGCTAGGCCACAACGTTGAAATGATGAACGAGTACTTCCCGATCTCGAACTTCGATCATGTCTATCTCATCGACTTGTGTGAACCTCTTCTTCAAGTCGCTCGCAGACGGTTTGAGAAGCGAGGCTGGAAGAACATCACTGTCCTTTGTCAAGATGCTAGCGAGTTTACATTACCCGAATGGCAAGATGGTCTCGACCCGAAGGGAAGCGTCGGATTTATCACGTTGAGTTACTCCCTGTCGATGGTGCGCCGCCTCGCTTCTCTCCTCATTGGGATAGGGATCGACAACTTCCTTATCCGCAGATCCCGAGCTTCTACACTCTCCTCGATCGAATCGAACACGTCCTATCACCACAGGATGGGATCCTCGGTGTTGTAGACTTCTACACCTCTGGTAAACAGCCATCCCTCCATGAGAAAGCCATCGGCGGTGCGAGCAAGGAATGCGGATGGTTGAGTAGATGGTTCTGGCAGATCTGGTTCGACTTCGATCATGTCTCACTCTCGCCTCATCGAAGAGATTATCTGGAGTACAAGTTCGGAACCGTGAGTCTTTTTCATGTTTGACGGAGATAAGTCTCTCATCTCCTTGTGTCAACCTCCAGATCAAGAGCTATAACGGCAGGAACCGGTTCTTCTTACCGTTTATTGTCCGAATGTGCGTTTGGTCCCTACGACGTCATGAGCCTTCTTAACTTCTGTGCCCCTCCAGTCCCTACTACGTTTGGCTGGGTCGTTCACGTTCATGTGATACGTCCCGATTCTGCCATGCTTTTGAGGTCGAGGGTGGCAATATGATCGGCAATTGTTCCCCATCACCTAGGGCGCTGGCAGCTGGTAGTGTTACCAAGGAATCGGAGTTTGTTCCGACTTTGGAGATCGGCGAGCCAGTCATCCCCATCGAATCGAAGGGAGGCGCTGTGGTCAACATCACTCCACCTTTGAGTTCCTTCCACTATCAGGTCAAGAACGTATGTCCTCTCCCCCTCCGACGCGTTGGTCGTGTATTCTAACTTTAACTTGTGATGTAGCCTTGGCGGCTTCCTTACTACGAGCAACCTGTTCATAAGGAGTTCAGGACTTTCATTTATTCTTTTACTTGGGTAAGCGGGCTATCGCTCAGTAGAAACGCATGGCACTCAACTCCACGCAGGAGGATCCAGTTGAAGACATGAAGCACCTCGAGCTAACTCGGGATGACTCCATGTTCATCATCACGTCCGCCGGTGATAATGCCCTACATTATGCTATTAACGCAAAACCCAAGCGAGTATGTATTTGCTTTTCGTTTCCGCCGTCACATCTCACTGATCGACCCGGTAGATCCATTGCGTCGACATGAACCCTTGGTATGTCCCTTCTTGACGTCGTCGTAGGCCATCCACTAATGAACCCCTCCAGCCAAGGCCATCTCTTTGAACTCAAGCTAGCCGCTATTCAATCCCTCTCCTACCCCGAATTTTTCAAAATGTTCGGCGAAGGCCGTCACCCCTCCTTCCGCTCCCTCCTTGACTCCACCATCTCCCCATCCCTCTCCGCCTCCGCCTACCAATTCTGGGCCCTCAACGATGACTCTTTCTCCAAATCATTCTACCTCCACGGATACAGCGGCCACGCTCTTCGTCTCGCCCGAATCATCTTCTCCATCGCCGGTGTATCGAAGGATGTCAAAGCCATGTGCGAAGCTGAGACTCTCCAAGAGCAGAATCGTATTTGGGTGGAAAAACTCAGGCCGACGTTGTTGAACCCTGTTGTTGTGGCATTGCTGAGGAATCCGTTGTTTTGCTGGAATGCATTGGGTGTGCCGATGAACCAAAGACAGATGTTGTTGAATGAAGGTACTGCTTATGAATTTGTGAGGGATACCCTGGATCCGTTGGCCTCTACCTACTTGTTCAAGGATGGCGCTTATTTCTATTTGCTTGTGAGTGTCACCTCCTCTGTCCTGGTATCATACTGACCACACCACTCAAGTGCCTCCTCGGACAATATACCCCTACCTGTTGCCCTGACTACCTTACTCGCCGTGGATTTGACGCTCTGCGAGCCAATAATGGAGAGGCTTTGGATGCTTTCAGATTACACACAGATTCCATCGTCAAGTACGTTTTTTATTTCATCTGTCTCATCCCGATCCTAACCTTATCCTTCATCTTAGTGTATTACAAGGTTTGACAACCTGGTCTTTGACGAGGGCGATCATTATGGACCACCTCGATTGGTTCGCGCCTGGTGCCAAGGAGGTGGACGAGGAAGTAGCTGAGCTGCACAGGGTATTGGCGCCTGGTGGGTTCGTTCTCTGGAGGTCAGCAGCAAAGAAGCCGTGGTATTCCAAAGTGTAAGCACCATATCCTATCCTTCTTTCGCTTTCATCGCTGACGCACTCGCCTTCCCTTCGTGCAGCTTCGAGCAATATGGATTCGAAGTCCAGGCTATTTCTACGAGGCAGGGTCCAAAGATACCGATTGACCGGGTCAATATGTATGCATCGTTCTGGAAGGCGGTCAAGAAGTTAGAATCATAGAAGGGGCACCTGCAGGAACGGGTGAAACCAGTACGACTTGTTTCATTTTAGCATGCTGTATCCATCGATACCATTTCCTTACGAATTCACGACACCCAATCAATGATGAATGCCCATGCGTATATATCTTTCAATAGAATGTTGATAATGAACGGCCTTCAAGGTCTGAGGTTCTCTTCAAGGTACTTTACAAACTTGTCTACGATACTTTCTTCACTAAAATCTACCGTTCCCTTCTCCGTCGTTCCGAGTGTCATTGCCTTCTTGTGAATAGACACAAATTGGCGCTTGGAACGTTGAAGCTCTGAGAGTGTGAGGTTTCGCGAGGGAAGAATGATCCTAGGATTGAGCGTGTTGGTAAGGTTCAGTGTGGTAGGGCCACCTAACCCTTGAGACGCTGATTGTTCCGACATGATCGAGGAGACGATGAGAGTTGTTGTGTTTTCAAGGGCGTGAAGAGCATCTGTCGGTGCTTTAGGCACCTAAAAGAATGGTGTAGAGTAGACCAGATGAGTCGCCGTTCATCATTATGGCCAAAGAAAGTAGGGCGTACAGCTTGTGTACCGACGTTAGGAGGCTTGACGATCCCTTCGGTTACAGATTTCCAGATATCATCGCCGGGTATATCTTCATCTGTCCATAGGACTGTGAAGAGCGGCGAGTCCCAGCGAACCATCGAGGAAGGCTCTTCGAATCGCATGATGAGGTTATCGAACCTGCGAGGAGGTTCAGGTCAGGATCTACGAACTTCAAAGAGCTCGATATGAAGGACTGACGTCTCGGGAGCGTACGATTTCCCATCCTCCCGTTCTGCATTCCATTTCTTGCAAATATCAGGGGGAGTAACAACATAGACCTACTTCACGAAATAATCGCTGCTGTCAATGTCGCCACAAGCCAGGCCCTGGAAGAAGATCGACACGCACAGTGCACATCCGAAGTCTCAGCTCCCTTCCGGCGCAGTACATCTGATATCGGAACCCCTTGATGTAGTTTAGGGAGTCGATAATAAGGATGGTGTCCTGTCCCATCTGCCTCTGCATTGCAGTGAACAAGGCTCCCCGTGCAGGTTTCTCCGAGCGACTGCCTGCACATACAAGTAACATCAGTATCTCAAAAAATAGCACAAACATAGACACTCACTGTCGTATACAGCTCTATCGAGATTGAGGGTGTCATCGGAGAGGATGGAGACTTTGAGCTTCGGACCAGTGTAAGACGGATCCTGCAAACGCTGTTCGAGGGCGGCTTTGATCTGTTCGGCTCGTTTGGATTTTCCAGAAGAGGGATACCCAGATATTGTGATGAACGCCATAGTCGATCGCTGCACGGTGGTGATGGTGATGAAGTAAACCGATAAGCACGTATGGACAGTTGTTGGATGCGCTACAGCCCCACTAACCCAGCGTATGTCTTCAACAAATTGAGAAAGACGTGAAATACAGTAAAATGAAGCCTTCAATAAAATAGGCGTTACCAGGACTCGAACCTGGGTTAACGGAAGTCGGAATGTTGTTCAGAATCCGCTGTGATAACCACTACACTATAATGCCTTGGTAAAGGTCACGAGAACAATAGATATCACTCCGTAGCTTGTCAGGCCCCCTTCTTACGATCTCACGCGCCACTGCCAACTTGACGGAATGAATCCCTCTCATATCCTGATCGCCCGTAACTCGAGGGGCCACAACCCTTCCGCCTCTTTGAGCTCACCCACCGAAACTCATGCAGCAGCAGCAGGCATCTTTCGATCATCTGGTTCTCCCCCTTGGTATCTCGAAGAATGTGAAACAGATGACATTGTTTCCGAACTCAGCTTCGACGGGGACGATGAAGGTTCCATTGAGATTGACGAGACATTTACTCCTCACTGCAAGTTTCCGGGGACGGTCAAGATTGTCGTAGAGAGCACCACGTTCTGGTGAGGTGCTCTCGGTTTGTTCAATTATCTCATACTCATTCGGCTTCTCACAAGAAGGGCCCACAAAGAGGTGCTGGTCTTTGCCTCTCCATTCTTTGAAGCTGCCCTCAGCGGGAACTGGGCTGAAACTGGGCGACCGCCTTCCATGTCCTCCGTGATCACGATATCCCAACCACCATCAATACCCGGCGACGAGAACTTGACTCGAGAGGCTCCGGAAGTGTTGTTCACATCCGCCGAGGATGAAGGAGATCATGACCAACATGTTCCGGATATCGACATCACACCAGCAACTGAGAGTGATGGAAATGATCTTGAAATCAAAGTATCTCAGAAAGCTCAGGCCAGAGAGAATGCTTTGGGCAAGTTGCAAGGAAACGAGACGCCCAGGGAATATGGCGCATCGAATGAAGCCAGGCGCGACAAACCGTCTTCATCCGACCAGTTATCTCCTGGAAAGCCTAGGAAGCGACACATGTCCACTGGTCCAGATGCCGTCGTAATTCTGAAGGAAGAGAAAGTGCGTAGTTCCGAAATATCACCTCGCCCATGTCCATTGTTGACACGCATACCTGCAGGCCTGTGTTTTTCACGACTTTCTCAAGTTTGTTTATCCCCAGTAGGTGATACTCGGCCACTCCTCTTCGGTTCCTTATCAGGATTTAGCCTGCAATGCACAGTAGCATGGAATAATGTGGAGGGCTTGTTCAATATTTCTCACAAGCTCTGCGTTGCTCCGTTACAGAAGGAATGTCGGAACTTCCTCGTGACACATGCTGCTGGGAAGCCCATCAAGGCCATGCGAATAGCTGAATTGTTTGAAGAGGAGGAACTTTATCGGGAGGCGAGTCGCTTCGTACTGGACAACCCGGGGGGATGGACGGATGATGAAATGGGGACGTTGAGTAGAGATACGTTGTTGAAACTTGAGAAACGGCTGGTACATTTCCCTTTCCATGCTGCTGTTTCACTGATCTACGCTTTACAGTCGGACATGGTTCTTGGAGAGAGTGCTGAAGCTTGGCCTGACACAAATAGCGAAAGAATACGAATGTGTACGAAAGTTGTTCCGTGCTTGTTTATCGATACCTCAGATCATTTGTTGATCAGTGTGCTACTTGCCCCGATCCACCTGTTTGTGCTCGACTCTTGGAAGAGAAGTGGAGGCAAGCATATCATGCCGTATTTCGATTCGGTGAGTCGGTCGGTCCTGATCTACTCTCCTTGAACCGACCATCCTTCCCCATAGGTCCTTGTCAACCTTCAATGGTGTATCGATACCTCCGTACCTTCGAGGGAATTAGCCCTCCACTTGCTCTTACCCATCTCAGTTGTCAGAATCATGCCAAAGCCTTCGTGGCCACTTGTGAGTTGTATTTCAATATCTGCGTCTCATTTCGCCTAAGCGGCACCCAGTGTTTGATAGGATGTTCTCTCTTGGCTTGCGAGGTAGTGGCACGGACACAGCGCCCATTCCTGCTCGCAACGGTGTTCCGGCGCCTACCCCAGGCCCTCGTCGACATTTCCTCTACTGCTCGTTGAAGCCGGAGGGTGCTCCGAAGAAAAAATAGTACAAGGATGCGCACTCATGTCCATGATAATCCACATCATTCCCCACATCGGAGCTGTTTGGTGTGCAGGAGGGTATCTACGAATGGAGCTTGTAGGTAAGTGAAAGGTTGATGGAACAAAATAAAGGGAATGAGTGTGGAAGTCCCAAAGAGTGTCTACATGCTCGGCCCAGAGCTCGACAATAATATACTGATCACATAATATGAGATACCATAGGATACGAATAGGAATAGAGTCGGACGCAGCGAGCAACGTTACGAAGCTTGCTGTTGATTGAAGATAGTGGGGGCATTTTCGACGAGCCATTCCACAGAAAGCGCCTTCGCGCCCATGTCACTGAACTCGGCACCTGAGTCTTGTGAGCGCATTAAGGTTGCTGGAAGGAACTGTGAGATAGCGCTGGGCGTGGACAATCGATTCACTCACGTCCGAAGACAACGCCAAGATTGCGAGCCGTCATAAGATTGACGTCACATTGCTCTCGGACACTATCCAAACGTTAGCACCGCAAAGGCAGTACGAACGTGGTCACTCACTGATTCAAGTGCAGCATCAGCATCCGTAAGGTATAGTAATGTTCTGTTGGCAGTTTTCTGACGAGTTCCGACAAGACGCTGGTCTTCATCTCGGGATCACGGATGGTTGATGCTTGAACAAACTCGTCGTGTAGAGCGTATGTCAGTAATGGATCTGGTAGTTGCCGGAGGTATGTCTTGAGCACGGAGGTAACACTGCAGATATCGTTGAATCGGTCTTGATCGAGGAGATCGAAAGTAGAATATTCCCCGCGTTCAAATAGCTGAGTGATAGTTTTTGATTGGCCGGAGCCACCAGTCTTGCGGTAGATACCTTCATAGTCCAATGCTGGAGAGGAATAAGCTCGAGAAGGGAGATGGCGAGTGACGAAGACATACCGCGGGCCTCGACGGCTTCAATACACTTCTCGACGATGACAGGGACCATATGTTCGTCATCATGCCAATCAGACTTCACTTGCTCAATCAGCTCGCGGCCGAACATAGAAGGAGCTGGAAAAATGTCAGATCCCGACTACGGTAGCGATTGAAAGGCATGTCACTGACGTAGCGACGAGAGACCGAGGCCAGGGTCTTCTGATGATCGTTGAGAACAAGACAGCTGTACATGGTTTACACAGCGTGGATGGACTGCAACGTGACAACCTACGATGAAGGGGGTAAATATTGTCTTCGAAATAAGTGAGGACGAAGCATACCTGAGCAGCGGAACTGAGAGCCCCACATCTTGTCGCCACAATGATCACATCGTGCAAAGCGCAATATGTTGAGCTGTTGGAAGACATGCTCAAGGCGTCCTTTGTTTTTGGTGGATTCGGCAGCGTGTATTGTTTGCACTGTTGGCTCCTTGCTGGCTTTCATCCCCCATTTGATAAACTTGCCGGGTTTATACGCGGATTGTGGAGTCTCTGGGATATCAACCTTGTGGATTTTGACGAACCTCGAGTCCGCAGTTTCGTCGGTGAAGGTGGAGGAGTTGGTGATGGATGTCGTGAGGGGAAGGGAGATACTGGGGCGGGGTCTGTCAAACGATGCGCTCTTCTTCTCGTTGGTAGGTGCGGTAGGTGATTCACCGGGAGAAGTTTCGATCTGATGGGCGTATTGGCGATTGAGCTGAGCGAGCTCCTCATTGCGGGCGCTGAGGACTGTGGTCTCCTCTAAGAACTGATCTCGGAAAGCCTTGAGCTCGGCGATCTCTCTCGCAAGCCCCTCCTTTTGTTCCGTCAATGGAATGAGCTCGCGTTCATATTGAGTCTTGAGACTATCAAACCGGATAGATAGTGTCCTGCTCATGTTCACAACTGGAACGTCGCTACCAGTGCCGAGATCCGGTGAGCTGAGAGGAGAGAAAAGTCAGAAAGAGCCGCGAGCCACAGTGCCACAGTCGAGACTTACCGCTTGGAAGCGGACAAAGCCTCCACCTCCGCCAGAGTCAAATCCCTTTCCACCTTCAGCTTCGAGACATCCTTTTCCAGACCGGTTAAATTGTGGCTGAGCTCCTCAGAAAGCTGCTGCTGGAGCTCTTGGCGTTTGCTTTCACTAGTAATGGCAGATAGACGAGCTGCTTGACCTGAAAGAAGAACCCGAAGACGGGAGACTTCGGCCTCTGCGTCACGTCTGGCCTGACATTCCCGGTCATACTCGGTGTGTGCCACGGTCAACCCATCCATATATTGTTGACTTGCTCTCTAAAACCAGGAAATGAACTCAAGAAGTGGCTCCTGAGATGTTCAGTCGACGTACCTTGATGCCATCAAGCTTCCCTTTCATTTCAGTATGCTCATCCTTCCGGCGATTCATTACCGAAAGGATAGCTTCAACAAATTCCTTATCAAGCTTGATATGCGAAGCACGGCGCTCATTTGCATCCAACAACACTTCCTGAAGTCGTTTCGACACCAGTTCCTCCGAGTCAGGCCTGAGCGGTTTAGCCACAAGAGATTCAGGAGCAGTCAGTGTGATTTGAGTCAGCGGCTCCCTGTGACCCACGCCTTCCGTTGAGTCCGACACCACCGACTGAGTGTAGTAACCTGATTCTGAGGAAGATCTTGGTCGACCCATCGAGGAGGGAGTAAGTGTTTGACGATCCTGCGACCGATCAGGAGACTCTGTAGCTTCCGGCGTACGAGAATCGGATATCGACCTTCTAGGCAAGTTCAAAGACGACCAGGATGCTGTCGAAGCATGGCGATCCGCCTTTTCATTTAACGACTGTCGCACAGGTGCCGGGGAAGGTGAAGCAGAGTCGCGTGTTGCGGCAGCAGCAGGGCTGGACGGAGATTCTGAACGACCGTTCAACTCTGTGGGAGAAGAATACTTTTCGGAAAACATTGGAGCAGTCGGTGTCTTGGCCATGAAAGACTCGCCAAAGGCCCTCGCAGAAGGCGGAGGAGTAAATGCATCGGTTCGCAAAGTCGTATCCCCATCCTCCTTCACTCTAGCCAATTGATCAGACTTTAGTGAAGGCAGACCTCCAACGGACTTCAACAGATCCGAAAAGTCCGCGCCTGACATTGAAAACCTG